CTATATTATCAAAAAATAAATTCAAAAGCTTAAAAAATAAATTGCTAATTTACAAAACATTTTTAAAATCAATATGGACTTATAGTCTATAACTGTGGGGTACGACCAAGAAATCGAATGTAAATAAAATCCTAACTTACCAGAAAATCACTCTACGTCAACCCACTAACGCTTCGCCATACATTTCAAATCTGACGCTCCACAATGATTTACATGATAAAACAATTGAAGAAAAATCTGTTTATTTTATAAGCGATTCTTCTCTCGTTTGGCAAATAATAATAACCCACTAATCAGTAACTTAAATAACTTAACAATTCCCGATAATCCTCGGACCTGTGAAGGATAGTGTAACTAATGAATGGAGGATAAAGAAAAATGAAGAATTAGATTAACTGTACCAAAAACCAAACACCGTTGAAGTAATAAGAAATTAAAGATTACAATGGGCAGAACACGTCTGGATAAACCAAAATCCTTTAATCCGTACAGTATTGGAAAAGAAGCCTACAGGAAAAAGACCCATAGGAAGACTGAAAATGAAATGTGGGGATGTAATGAAGAAGAACGTGGAAGAACTAGGAGGAGGAAGTGATTGGAAGGCACGATCAGAAGACCGAGAGGGATGGAAAGCTGGATGTATGATAGTCCTAAAGGCTGTAAACACCCTAATCCTTGCCGTCGACTGAAAATGTGATAGTGCAGAGATTTTTTACAATAAGTCTCTCAAACCCTCTCTCTCCTCGAATTTATTTTTACCCTATCTTCCCCAATTACCCCTCAAGCAAAGAATCACTAGTGGGTGACTTCTTAATCACGTATATCATGTTTTCTATCTTTTATCACTTGTACTTATCAGTGACAGACGCAGGAAGGAGTTTTGGAGGTTCAACTCCCCCCCCCCCCCCGAAATGAATAGTTGATTAATTTAAACGTAGTTATCCTACCATATGTACCTTAAAAAAAATGAATTGTTCAAAATACGATTAAAATATGCTAGAAAAAAAATGTTTAGTTAAGAAAAGTGAATTTGTAATAATTTGTAATTTTCAAAACGTTCTAAAAGGTATTGGTACTAAAAACTCAAATTTTTGAAATTCCATGATGGCAATACTTTGTAAAAATAATGCGTGTTTGTAAGTCGCTTGTTATCAGTAAGTAAAAATAAGTAAATATACCTACGTAATCGATATAATATTATTTACAATGGTACATTATGATTGACGGTTTCCCTAAATTTTGTGTTGTATGGTCATGTGATAACGATCGAAAATAGTCAATCTATAGTCAATAGTAAATTATTTCAAAATAACGGTAATCAGGCCCGTATTTAGAGGGGGCACGGGTAGGCACATATCCGGGGGCTTCAAGTCTCAAGGGCGGCAAAATATTTTAGCGAAATCAATTTTAAAAATGATGTACCTAATGAAAAAAAAATAAAATAATAAAAAAAAGAAAATAGTATAATACTATGTTTTATTATGTTATAATTTGTTTAATTTGTTAATTAAAAAAAGTATTAAACAATTTTCATTTGTAAGTTATATTTTAATATAAAAGAATCTCGATTATGGACGAAATAATAAGTGTTAAATTATTATTTTTTTTTTTTTTTTTTTTTTGGGCGAGGGGGCATAAATATTATGCCCGAGGGTGACAAATTTTTAAATACGAGCCTAACGGTAATTATTCTTATTTTTTCAAAACTGCCCACGAAATTTTTTTCTGCTTCCGCCCCTGGTATTTATTATACTAAGTATTAAGATCGTATAATTATTATAAATGTATAAAAATATATATATATATATATATATATATCAAATTTATTTCGATTACATTGAACGGATAACACTTCAATCACTTTTTTTTTATCTCTAGACTTTCGATCACTACATTATTGACCAAACCATCCTCACTCAAAAAAATCAATGATGTTGAATATATATATCAGTAAATAAACCTAAATAAAACTTGTTGAGACAAGAGTTGATATTCCCTCTATATTCTTCTAGTAAACAATTTTATTTAAGCAAGGCCGGCGAAAACTATAGGCGACCCGGGCGATTGCCCGGGACGCCAGCACGAAAAGGGCGCCAAACTGAGAATTGTTTTCATCTAATTTATCTTTAGATACGCATTAACGTAAGAATATAACAGTTGTACTTTCTACTTCATATAGGTACTGTATCCATACAGCGCTGGTTTTGATGTAAAAATAATGCATGGAAATATACCACCGCATTTTCTGTGTAAATAAATAGATAGTCGTAATAATTATTTTCATAAAATATTTACCCGTTTACAAATAAATTCATACAACTAGACGATTACGTAAAAAACGCGGCGGTAAAACTGTTTGGACCTTACGGCGAAAATATCGCGACGTGTGGTGTAAATCAAAAAGACACAGATGCCCGACACACACGCACAATTTATTGTTTTCGACGAGCTCTCGCTACGTACGATTTACTATGTAATGTCAAATGTTTAAACTAACAAGTTACAGTTAACAGGTATTAATATTCATATTTTTCGTTTAGTTAATTTCTACATAATATTTTGGTTCCTTATTAGGTAGTTATCTACAATAAACTCCGTTTTCTGGTTGTCTTAATAAATGAGTTGTTAGTGAAACACAGTATTCCTATATTGTAGGCAGTGGTGGCGTGAAATAATATATTCCCCGAAAAAACTTTCAAAAAGTAAAAAACGCCAAGCTCAAAATTAGAACTATTATATTCTTGCAACGAAAAAACAAAAACTTGTCCAAAAAATGCGTTGATATAATACCAAGTTATTATACTAAATGTGCACTAATTTTATTTAAATTCACTAAAAAACTTTATTTTACTACTACTCAAACTAAGTGGGTTGGATGGGGGGGGGGGATTTCAAGGGTGCCAAAACATGGTTTTGCTTAAGGTACCAATAATTCTAGTGCCGGCCCCGTATTTAAGTTCTACCCATTGAAAATTACTTAAAATATGCTCTGAGCCACAGTATTTATATGAAATATCACTGCTAAAATCCTGTTATGAATTGTAATGAAATACAAAAATATTTAATTAAAAATATAGCAATTGGTAAAATATTGCAAAATGTAAATATTTACAGAAAAATAATTATTAAATGTAGGTAATGAATACAATTTCAATTTGTTGAATTGCATTGTACTTCAATATTTTATACCACTGTTATTTATCATATAAAATCAAATTAATGAATAATTAGTGGTATTCATTATTCAAAACTGTTTTCATGTTTATAAAATATTTTTAAATACATTCAACAGTATAGTAATATTATGTTATGAGTATACAAATATCACAAGTCACAACTAAAATCATAAAAGGTATAACCATTAAATCATTCAAGTTAATGAAATAATTTCAATACCAAAAAAATACAAAAATTTATAGCTGCATTTTTTCAAATTTAAACTTTTTAAATTATACTTATGACAATTACTTCGGAGATAACATTAAAGTATAATGGTATGTTCTTTAAAAAATTTATTTATTAAAGAATAGGCTTAGGACAAGCATGAAACAATCAAAATTTGCAGATTTATCAGTTATAAATATTGAAAGATCTAAATACTAATAATCTAAATATCTTTGATAAAGATAAAACGATAAATAATTTTAGTACAATTTTAGTAAAATTCTATAATAGTTATAATTTTAACAACATTTTATTAATTTTTGGATAGTCAAAACGGTTTATTCATTTTTTTTTTTTTTTTTATGAAGTTAATGTGGTAGAGTTCATATTTGAAAAATAATATATTAACTTACTTATAATTGAAGCAAAACAAATACCAATATATATATTCATAAATAAATGTAAATACAATCATGTTTTAGAATTTTCAACATTATTATAACTCATTTAATTTGAATTATTAAATGGCTTACAGTATATGCTTATTGAATTTCATAAATAATAATGCATTTTTATATATGTATTTGATTTATTTACTAAAACTGAAATTTTTTGGCATAAATGTTAAATTCCTATGTATCATAATTAGAAAATAAATAGGAAATAAAAAAATAAGACATTAACGTTTTGAATTTAAAATAAAAATCATTATATTGCACAAATAATGATAATACACCATGTTTATGAGAAGTATAGTTCAAATGGTGGAATTTGGGCACAAATACCAATCTAAGAACTTTACATTTTCTAATACACCTTATTTAATTATGAGTATATTAAAGGTAAAATAATAACCAATAGATATTAACCAACATAAAATTGTAATCATTATACTAATATGACAATTGTTTTAAAATAAATTAGTGAGTAATATGTTTAAACATTAACATATAATATTTATCACACAAAAATAATAAAACATTATATTTATTAACAATTAAAATAATTAATTATACATATATGTATACGTAGGGTGGTCCACCAGGTTTTTTAATTTTTACATCCAACTGCTAAAGAAAAATTAAAATATAATGGCTTACCTACCCTTTGTACACAAATTTATATTTTAATTGAAAACAAATATTTTATAATAAGCTACATATTTGACATAAATGAATAATAAAAAAATAATTGTATTTTAAATAGTTTTGGATAATTTCCAGCAGACAGCAGTATGAAAACTACTTTTAAATGAAATTGTGCAGCATATTTATGTTGTTGTAAGATATACACTACTATAAACATTAAATATGTTTAGTATCCGACAACGTTTTTGTTCAATTATGGAATTATTATTATCATTTTAAATATTTAAATCTCCAATAGTTTAACTTTTCAGTAAATGTTGACAATTATAACTTAATATAATAAAATAATAATATAATTAAAACCAGTTAAAAACATGTAGTTATTTAATACATTTTGAATACATAAAGAATAATTCTATTAAATAATACCTTTAAAATAGCTATTAATCAATAATTTACATTAAGCTTTTAAATGTTTAGAATAGAATACTGAAAATAATCAATTGAAGTTTGTTTAGTAACTTTTTAAACACTTTTTCCATTTCAAATAATAATAATATTACTAACAATATTATACTTTTACTTAAAACTCAATAACATTTTCTGCAGCTGAAATGTACAATATTTTTATCATTATATAAAGTATATTACGAAGATATGACTATTTTACACTGAAATTTTACAGATCTTCGTCATATACCCTGTATACTTTTTAAGCGTTATTCTATATAACATACCAATTTATAAACTCCATTTCGATGTAATTTCACTAAATAAATAATCAACTTTGATTTTAAGTACTTTTATAGGTTTGATATAATTTATATGAACAACATAAATATTAATTAGTTTAAAGCTTATTTCAACCACAATAATTCCAAAAATAAAAAACAAAATTTTTCTATTTGGTTTAATAATGGTAATCAAGGTATAACGCATAACATTAAAAGTGATTCATTAACATTTGGCTTAATATTTATGTGCTAAATTAACTTTTTAAACACAATAACAAATATTAACAACATTTATTAAATTCACTGCAATATTATAACGAAAATATCAAATTAAAATAACCATAAAATGTTTTAATTATCTCATAGAGTACGGTATGGACCATTTACCTTAAGATAAGTCATTACTAAAGATGGGCCACCCTTCACTGCATCACCCAGTTGACTCAATGGACAGTTTTCAATTCCCAACAATTGCAACTTGGAACATAAAGCAAGTTCAAATGGCAAGTGATGAAGACTCTGGTTGTCATTTATGTAAAGTGCTTCCAAATTTTCTAGCGTTCCAATTTCTTCTGGTAACGTACTTAGCTTATTTTCACCAACACTAAGATATATCAAATTAGTAAGATGGCCAATGGCACGTGGTAAAGACAACAATTGATTAGATTGCAATATTAACTTCTGCAATTCTCTTAAATAGCCAATTTCCTGGGGTAATGTTTCTAGTTTATTTTCTTCGAGATCAAGTACTCTAAGTTTTTGAAGATTTCCTATGGTAGCTGGCAGTCTTTTTAATGCATTATTGGATAGAATCAACACCTCTAATGATTGTAGATACTGTATATCATCAGGCAATTTGGTAATAAAGTTTGTACCTACATTTAATTCAACCATATTGGTCCAAGAACCAACATCTAATGGCAGTGATGTTAATGCATTATCTTTCATATTTAGTTTTGTTAAATAATTAGCTTTGGAAAATATTCCATAGGGTATTTTATCAATTTTATTATGTTCAAAATTAATCGAGTCAACAGCAATAAATTGTGCTGGTCCTCCAGTAGGATATGCTGTAAAACTATTTCTAGCTAGTGTTATACTGTTCATTTCTTTTAAGTTTACAAGTAGACCATCGGGCAAACAACTTAGCATGTTGCCTTCTACATTAAATTCATCCATTCGATTACAATTACTTAAAGAATTTGGTAAAGTCTTCAATCTATTATAACGTAATCCTAAACGTGTTAGAAGTATAAGATTACCAATGGTATCTGGAATGTCAACGAGTTCATTGTGCTGAAGATCTAATGTAGATAACTGTACACAATTTCCTATTTCTTCAGGCAAGTGTTCTAAATGATTATGTGATACATCAAATGTAATTAATCTTTCTAACTTACCAATTCCAGATGATAGTTCTTTGATCTTATTTTCTCGTAAGCTGAGCATGACTAGGTTGACTAATTTACTAATGTCATCACTCACAGTACGTATACGATTAAAACGTAAAAACAGTGTAGTTAAAGTATCAAGCTTGTACACAACATCAGGCACTTCAGTAAGTTTATTGTGCCTTAGGTCTAAGACTTTAAGACTAGTAAGGTTAGCCAGTGAATCAGGTAAACAAGTTAGAGAATTTTCACTGAGTGCTAGTGTCTGTAAACTGGTCAAGCATCCGATCTCTGATGGTAAAGTGACCAATTTATTGCCATATAAATACAATTCTGTTAGTTGTGTAGCATCTCTAATGGTAATTGGAACTTTGGTCAAACCTGATTTACTCAAGTCCAAGCGCCATTCGGAACTGTCATTACAGTTCTGGATCTCCTTAGCCGCATCTTGAACAATTTTCTTCGTATTTTCTTTCTTAGCAGATGGCGTGTACAATTTTTTTGAATCGTGTTGTTTGACAGTTACCACACGGGGCTTTAGGTCTGGTGGTGTACTACTACTGATAGAACTTACCGACAGTTTTTTCTCCTTCCGCATTTTATTAGCATCAATCATCTTCACCACATCTACTTCACTAGGCTTCATTTTAGAAATTTTAAATTATTTTCGGTACATCACTTCAATTAACATAATTAACATTTTTAACAACAACTATTACTTTAAATTTTAAATTTATAAATATTATTATTGGTTCCTATCAATATTATTATAGTGTACAATTTTTATTCGTATTTGTTATTGATTATAGTCTCAGATAAAAAATGATCATGGGTAAAAATATTTGTACACTTTTCCTTCCATGATAAATTATTCGATTAGAACACTGAACAGAGATGCTCAACATTTCAGTATTAATATTAAGTGTAAAGTAACACAATCATTTTCTGTTTATTAGACAATTTTGGAAATCAATTAATTTAAGGTTAGAGCCATGACTGTTAATTTATTACAAGTGTAAAACAAATAATAACAAAGATTTGCTTCTGTCTGCTCTCTGCTAACACATTTACTAAGTAAAAATTATTAGAGACATTTTTACCAATTGTATAGTAATTTACACAGAAATCATGGTAAAATCTAATGAACCTAAGCCCGACACGGATAAACAAAAGAACACTTTAGACATTGGCTTATTGGAAGAAGATGATGAATTCGAAGAATTTCCGGTAGAAGGTAAATCTTCATTATTTTTAGTTGTCAACCTATTTGGCAAGTTTTATATGTGCTTATTTTATATCAAGAATGGACCAGCCATGACGAAGAGGATAAAGAAGCTAATGTTTGGGAAGATAATTGGGATGATGATAATGTCGAGGATGACTTCAGTGTTCAATTAAGGTATATATATATATATATATATACATGATTATTGAATACTTGTGTCTACTATTTTCTTTAGAAATACAGTAGTCATCGGTTATTGAACTTGCTTTAAAACCAGAACATTTTGGTTCATTAAGCGAATAATTCAATATGGCAAAATTCTAAAGAATAAAAATATGTACGAACGCGTGTTCTTTTTATATATTTATTAAAATTTAAGCTCAATATTCGTGTAAAAATATTTAAAAATGTTTAATATGTATTATCAATATATACATAAGTATAAAATTATAATTCAAATGCTCATTGGTTCATAATACCTAATTTATTTTGATGTTTCTATTGTGGAAAGATAATTTATGTATTTATAAAGATAGTTTACCTCCCCAATAATAACTTGATACGGTTACTGTGAAGTTTTTTCTGTAAGTTTTTCTACTCAAACATTTTTACTTTTTTTATATATCCCATTAACTGGTATTGAGTTTAATCAGAGTTAATTAACTGCAATTCCAATAAGCGGTGAACATTGTATATACTACAAAACCTATTATGATAAGCTTAATATTTCTATGAATTAAAAACAAATTCATTTGAATAAGGTTTTAACACCAGTGAACTATACATATATTTTAAATATGGATATTTTCAAAATAACTTTTTGCAATTAATTGGTAAAAAAAATCTAAACTATACTTGAGAAAAGCAGTTACAATGTTTTCAAAATAATTTCAGTAGATCATAAATATAAAATGTTTAATAATGTATGGGTACTCCATTTACAATCTAATATTTATATCAAAACTTAAATTTGTTATGTTTTATTTTTTAAACATTATTGATTTTTATTATTTATTAATACTTTATGAATATTATTATTTTCCAGAGCCGAGTTTGAAAAACAAAATATTCCTGCGACGTTTTAGAGTAAATTATTACATAATGTTATGTTCTTGTAAAGTGGAAAGTAAAATACATGTATAAAAAAAAAATATATATTAATTCTTACTCCTAAAATTATTTTTAAATTTATTTTCTACAAAATGTAACACATTTTATCTTGAATGTATTAAGTTATGTACAACCTCACATCAAATATGTATCTTTTATTTTATTAATTAAATACTTTTGTACTTTATTAATGATAACCTAAAAATATAATATTCTATAATTCTGAAATAATTAAATCAAATGCCTGATATCAGTGTTTTTCATAATTTGTACATGTAAATGCTTAATGAAATTTGTTTGCAATGACTCATTCAAAAACTGAAATTTTAAAATTATTATCTTATTATGTTTACAAGCTATAAATATATGAATGTGTTGTCAAAAAACAATAAATTATTGTGGTTAATTATTGAAAACATTTTTTTTTTTTTAATATTTTTTACTTGTGCAAATACTTAACCTTATATACATATTATGCAATTACTTCTTGGTAACTTGTTGTTTAATAAAATATGTTTTATTAGATTTCAATAAATCAGTGTAAGACAGGCTAGTTGCTGATAGGCAATTTTCAGATTCGCAATAGTTTGATCATAACTGCACTCACAGATGGAACTAAACTATCCTGTCACACTATGATAGACAGGATGTAATTGAACAATTTGTGACAAAACACCAACTATTTAGTTGGTCAATTCGATCAGTTACATATGAGCTTAATGTGATTTAACACTGTAGTAGCCACTTATGCGATTAAACTGTTGGACAACTGAAAATTGCATGTCAGCGACAAGCCTAATGTGCCTGATGCCATTAAAGTACTTCAAAGGGGGAGATTTGTTACACTTTCAAGTTATTATTTTGTTTACTTGATAGTATTTGTTAAAACAACAAGATAAACTGATGAAATACAGACAAAAAGTTTTCATCAAAGTATTATTTGCTCCGGACATAATTTTACTTCCCATTATATTGCATAGTAAAATTAATTACACGTTTGGCTCATTTTTACATTTGAGTTACTTTGGAGAAATTGTTTTTGTAAAAATAATGTACTACCTACTAAAAATACACTAAGTATGATCTTTGCCCTAAATATATTTCTACTGAGTACATTTGTTTGTTCGCTAACTACAGTTAACCTTTCAAGTTTCTATGATAATTTGTATCCACATAATAATTTCTATAAAAAAATTACATATACCACAAAGTCTATATACACTGATTGAGTGTGTCAAAATAGTCTGTATTATTATTACTGTTGATTGTAGAATAATCTTATTGTTAATAAGATATAATTATTCTTTAATCAATTTTATAAACGGGTACATAGTATTCTAGTTCAAATTTAAATTTCATTATCTTACTAATGTAATATTATATTAGTGAGGATTTATTTTTAACAAAAATCTGAAAATTCAGTACGATGTTCATGATTTTCAACAACCGTAATGTTTATGTTGTCTTTAGTTTTTTAAAGGTGTTTTTGTTTTTTTATGTAAATTTTATGAACAAAAATATCATGAGAGACATTCAAACTATATATTGTCTTGACAACAAACAGTTGATCAGTTCCTTTGTTTTTCAATAACACTGGGATCGCGTTTAGTCAGAAATGCAAATAGAATCAGAAAATAAGTTCATCATTGTGTCGATGTTGTGTATACCTAGAATGGAATAGTTTTAACCATTGTTTAGTTATGCCTTTATTGTGATAAGATCAATAATTTGTCTATCGTTGAAGTATGAAACTATAAAATTATATAAAACAGTTTTGATTTTGATTTGAAAAAGAACAAAATAAATCTATAAAAACCCATTTTTGTAAAAAAAAATCATTTAACTGAACAAGCATAAGTTGATTAAACACATGTTAGGTACATTGACCATAGCACTTAACATACAGGATACAATTGGGTAAGTGTAGTGAACTTAATGAATAGCCAAACCAAACCCAAATAATAAAAAATAATTCAATTTGAGATGTATTATTGGTACAGTTGTTTAACAGCAACAATAAATGTATGCAACTATGTTTATAGGCATAATAATGATTAATAAAGTATCAATTCAAGTTTAGTTCAATATAATAAAATATATATGAACTAATAAACTTAAGCGTAAGACTATATGCTAAACTAATGGTAAAAGAAAATAATAGTGGGTATTATTGCCAACAAAGCGCAAATGTGTAGATCACTTTCACTAATTGAACAATTATTGCATTTCTCTTTATGAAATTATCCAACAATTAACATGAGTTCACTTTTAGTTATCCTTATGTAATATAATGACGACTTTGGTGTCTACTCAATAACAATACAAAATAATAAAGATATTGATTTTAATAACTTATCAAATAATGATACACAATTATTTTTTTAATAATTTGTTTTATTTTCATAATTTCATCAAATACAAGAAATCAATACCAGTTAAACATATTATGCTCGGTATATTATAATTTTTCATTAATATATTTTTATTTTTTTTTGTTATGGCACATTATCCAATTATTAATTATTAATAATTAATTACAAACATAATACTTTTTATGTTTGTAAAAATAATTATACTTAATATGAAGTGATTAATTTTTAGTTTGAATAAATTAATACATAATATAATATATATATTTTAATTATATTTTATGAAGGTATACTTTATTCAAGTTACTATGGTAATTAGTTTTTTTTTTTTTGTAATATTGTTTTAGTTTATGTAAATATGTATGTTGTAAGAAAAAAATGAATAATAATAATAAGACAAAATATAAATAAAATAATAATACCGAGTTTAAAAGCAGTCTTATTTGTTTAATTAAACAAAAAATAACAAAAATAAAATCTTAAAGGACCTAAGTTTAAATTCTATAAAACCAAAATATGAAAAAAACATTTACGATATATATATATATATATATATTATAAATCTTATTAAAAGCAACATATTAGTCAAGCTATTTTACATAAGAATAAGTGCAGCACTAAATTATTTTCAAATATCTGGGAACAAGGGCACTGAAGATAGTTTAACACAAATGATCTTAACCAACATTTTATAACCCATACTGAAACCTTTTTTATTTAAAACTACAGAATGGATTCAAATAAAGAAGGTTTCAGCAGGTGACTACAGAAAAAAAATTAAATAAAAAATAAAAATAACGAAATAATAGTAGCAAATACTTTGTAAAAAAAAAAAAAAAAAGATATTCTATAATTTAAACAACTATACTTTTCTTATTTTTACAAGTATCTTTTAAGGAGCATTAAGAATAATGTTTGGAAACAGAAACAGAATATATCAAAAAAAAAAAAAAAAAAAAGAAGCTTATAATTTTATGAAGAACTATTAGAATAATATGATATTTGCATGATCTATAAAAATAAAAATGCTTTATTCAATACACACAAACACATAAAAAAATCATACAACTACCTAATGCTCCATTACAATTAATATTATTCTATTTCTGTTAAGTGTATATTTCATTAATTAAAAAGAAAAATAATAAGTAAGCTTGTTAAAAAAAAAAAAAAACCAATGTGAAGCCAAATTCAACAATTGCACTTGAACCCTTATGTACACACTGTTACATTAGGCCATTTTAAATATTCAATCAAATGTAATAGTTTGCAATATACAAAATATACAGAAATAAACACAAAATATAAGGAAAATGAGACCATTAAAAACAAAAGAGAGAGATACATATTAAATATTAATATTATCAATAAGGAATGTGCCCAGTTTTACGACTGGTTTCACTTGGATACTATCAGTACGGAAGATCTAGGCACGAGACCTTTACGAGCACCCCGACAACAGAGTATCCACTTGTCATCTACTTCTAAAACGAGTTGCAACTTTTCGCCCTCATTGAATGATAAGTGTCCATTGTCAGCAGATAACCGATGTGATAATGTTCGCACATAACGAGTAGGTTCCTTGAGTCTCCGCTGTGGTAAACTACTAGGCCGTGTTGCTTTAGATGCAGACAAAGGTTTTTTGATTCTATAACATATTTAAATTATTTACATTTTTCATAACTAATAAATAAAATTATTTTTACTTGTTGGAAGTAGGTTCAATTTGATTGGCACAAGATGGTGATGTTGGTGAATCAGCTCTATAAGTAGCCGTCATTGGGCGCTTACCAAAGTTATCTTGAACTGGTTGTATTGGCGAGAGAACTGGACGTGGTATACGAGATTTTGAAGCCGATCTCCTTAAAAAAAAAAAAAAAAAAACAGTTAAAATAATTAAAATGTGTAAAAATCAGTAATCATTTTAGAACCTAGCTCTCATCGCCACGCTTTGTGGTCCATCAAAATTAGGTGTATCCACTGTAAGATCTTTGGTACTAAGTAACTCCCATTTCATTTGCAGTCTTCTAAATCTATTTCCTTTTACAGGTGTCTCTTTCTCAGAATTAATCTCTAGTTCTGGCCTGTAACATTTCAGTTTTATAAGTAATATCTTAAATTTATAATTTTATTAACTTACTGAATTCTTTCATCAATGTTGTCCAATCTTCCAAATGCTGTAGCTAGTTTTGAGCCCATATGTACACCACTCCAACGTTTACTGGCAGTACTTGCCACATCTACTGTCTTTGCTGAATCAACATATGATCTTGGTCTTGATGCTTCGTTTTCCAATGTTCGAGCAGTTTTCTTTAATAACCACGATGTTCGGTTCTACAATTTATAATTTATAATAATTGTATAAATATCTATAAGCAGTTGATGAAAATACCCACATTTATGTTAGATAAACTTTCATGAAGTTTACGGCATTCATACAATGGATCAAATTCCGGTTTGTAATTGGCCAAAGGTTTAGTAGATGTGATTAAACGATCAACAAGATCCCTGTGCAAAGTACATCCAAAATTGGCACGTACAAAAAGAGCATTTCGGTTATAGTATTTTTGCCAAATCGATTCTCGGGTTCTCATATAACTTAACCAAGCATCCAAGCCTCCAACACTATAAACATAATTTATTTATTTTGTACATTATTATATATATATATATCATATTATTTATTAATAATCTTATTTAATTATTTATTTCTTACTTTAACAAGCCGAAAATAAATGCATTAAATTTCATAACACCTTCATTCAGTGCCAACTCATTATTAATTTTTGCTGTAAGTTCATTAAGTGCTGAAGAAAGAACACCTGAAAGTTTATAATTGCAATATAAATCAAACAATTTATAGCCAAACATTGAATTTTAAATATTTTAAATTTAAAATAATAATTAGATAGCAAAATTCTTCAATGACTAATTGCTTTTTTTTTTCGTAAACTCAAATATGTATATTTAATCGATGGAAGTAAACAGGGGGTTGATAAGATAGAAATTTTTAGGTTCTAAGAAGTAGATCTCTTACAGCAACTATGTGTCTACAAGCCGTAAACAATAACATTTTTTTTTTTTTTTTTTAATAAAATGTCTTAATTTATGAAAAATTAGAGAACATTATATTATAAGGTGTTTAGTACTTAAAAAAGTTATATAAATTTAAGGGAAGTTAGGACGATTACAAATTAAAACTTATATTAAAAAGCCAGAACTAAAGATGAAAGAGATAATTAAGAGATTACAAGTGGGAATCGAGAAGAATGGTATCAGTTATGTTTGATAATCAAGGAATCAAAATTGAATAATTATTTATTATTTTAACACCATAATATTATATTTATAGCATACATATTTACACTAAATTGATACTAAGTAAAATATTTTCAACTTGCATATTTATAACTTATAATCTATTTATGTACATTATACAAAATAAAAGGGAGATTAGATACATGATTGGATGAAAATTTTGAGTACAAGAACAGCTGACTAATAAGGATGAATAGTTCTTATGCATATGAAATATATGTACCATTGGTATCAAAAATGATCACGAACAAAGAAAGATAATATGATTATACACAAATAAGAAAATCGTAAAATAACTAACTTTGTCTTAAATTTTCAAAATTTTTTGTGGGACCAGAATTATTTTATCGACATTTAACAAAAAAAAATTAAAAGAAAACATGAAAATTTTAAATACCTAATGTCACAAAAAAGTCAAAATATTTTGATAACCATCTTAAAACCGTGAGCATTTCAAATTACTAAAGTAATTATAAGTTACAACAAACAAAAATATTTTGTATGTTACCATTTTTTTTTTTTTTTTTTTGGTAATTTTTTGGTAAATAACAATCGAATTATCGTCATTTTTTCTCAATTATTTGGAAAACTGTATAGAAAATCAAAAGATGATATCCAGAAGAAAGACAAAATTTGTTGTCACATAAAAAAGATTAAGTTGATTGGATCTTTCTGATCAAAATACATTCTTTTGCTTCACTCAAAATCTAAAAAATCACTCAAATATTCATCGAATGTTTGATATAATTTATTTATTTCAGATCTTACACCATAGCCATTATACAAATATAAATTACATAGCGTATAACTGATCACAATATGTGGCTACAATTCGTTTGTGCAAAAGTGCACAACTTGATTACGCACACATATTTTGGCTACCTGTGACGAAAATCCTTAGTGCCAGAACTCATTTGCTTATTATCGTTGATTATTATACTCCTTATTTATTAACAATAACACTCACAGGATATTTTTTATTAGTGCATCTAAAATTTGAACATCCACTCATTAAAACACGGTATTCACAAAATTTATAATTATCAATATTAAAACATCGTTTTCTTCATGGAGATTCAAAAGTAGGTATTAGAAATTTCTACGCCATATTAAAGTTTACGTCGTCAACACACTAGTCACCACTGTCCATATCCATAGTCCATACTTACTGAAACTTTACTAAAAGTTGTTTGGAAAATCCAAATTTATATAGTCTACACAGTCGATTATAAAATAATATTAAGGTAATATATTTGATAATTTATACTACAGTCTGTGACGATGTATGTAAACACGTGTCATGTGTTGAATGTGTCGTAGTGCACAAACGAGTCGTCGATTTTCAAGTAAAAATTTTGAATGTACGCAAACGAATTGCAGCGCAATATGTGTATTGTACTTATTTATATATAATACATAATTTATTATTAAAAAAAAAAAAATTTCAAAAATAAAAACATTACACCACAATTCGAATTGTTTCCCTTGTCAATCAAAAACATAAAACGGCAATAATTTCATTGTTATCGTTGTAACGTTATATTATGAAAATTTTATTAAATAAAACAGTCAAGATTGTGTACAAAGATTTAAAATTAAAAAAAAAAATAAACAAAACGGTTGCTCATAAAATATATCGTACCTACTCTTTTATAGAGAACAAAAACACTTTTTCATTTTAGATTACGAGTGAAGTCAAACAAAAATTGATTCTTCTCAAAACATAATATGTAAATAATAATACTCATAATACATATTATGTATTATGAGTTATGACAATCTTGTTGCGGATGTATGATATATATTATATATATTAATTTATTTTTATACACTAATCCATTGATAATTAGTATACTGAGTTTTGATTAAATATACTTAATGACTGAGTTATGGGATTATCTGAGCAAAATGCACAAAAATAGAAAAAAACCGTCCATGCTGTAAATACATTCTCCCGAGATGTATAATTATGTTCCAACAGGGCAAAGTCGAAAACACTATTAAGATAGTATTTTAAATAGACGAGGTTTGAAAGAGTGAGCGATTTTGATTCCATACTGAGTGACAACCGCAATATTAAATTAGCGGCAAACCATATTTCAGTTGGTTAGTGTAGTAAACAGTACTACAGCAGTGAAACGTAAGCCCGGAGCCGTGACAACTAATAAAGGCTAACATTGAAAAATAATAAGTGTTCAGAAAAATATGTATAACTCAATACATAGGACAAAAAACCGGTAAGTTATGCAATTCGTACACATGACTTTTTATATTACATACTGGACCTTGATATTTCTTATATAAATTAAAAATCTACAGTAATTCGAGTAACCACAATCACAGGGAAAATTGATTTGTTTGAGTTATATTATTAACAAGGTGAACTCCAGTCAAAACAAATCGCAACTAGTGTTATAACAAAAATACAATGTGTTTTGTATGAACAACATTGATAATAATTGTTTTGGACTAAATTATTTCAAATATAACTTATTGTAGAATATATGCACGCAATAACCATTATCTCGGTTACCAACTGTGGTAATTTTGCAGAGCTTTATTTAGTAGGAGGTAAATACGTTATATATATAATTAAAAAAATCACGACCTAGTATGAAAAAATAAAGGAATACATTGATAAAAATTCGTCGTTTTACATAGATAATTAATATTAAAACTAAGGAAAGATTAATGATTTCTTATTAAACATAGATATGTTAAGAAATATTAATACTTTGGGTATTATTTATTAAAATCTAAAATGTATTGATATAACATATTATTTTTAAAATGGTTTGTACATTTAAAATATAATTAAAAATATTTATCTTTATTGTGTATGTGTATAATAATATAACTGTATTAATGTAAATGTTATTTTGGGTATTTAATATTTTTAAGTCTGTATTGATTTCAAAATTTATATTACATATATTCTAAAACATAAAAACGTAAAATTTGAACATTTGGACAGTTTATTTTAATTTTATTTCAAAAATGTGTTTTTTATAACTTATTTTAAAATTTCTATTTATCTTACCTATATAAAATGTATAACAAAGTATAAACTTAAATGTAATTGTAATACATTTTATTCAAATTTAGAACACGATAAACAGAGTTTAGGAATTAGAGGTGTATGGAATTTGTTCTATGCAAATTGGTTTGCCCTACAAACTGTGTGCAACCCTAAAAATTAAGCCCAATTTAAGCCACTGGATCGAGTGACGAAACGTTAACGAAATTCGAACGTCAACTTTATTGCGAGAGAAACAATATAAATCGTTTGAATTTGAATCATATCCAAACAAACGAATGCCGATATTAATATTTGCTAATGGCTACATAATACAAAGTGTACTAGCGATCGGTCGGTTACGCCACACACGGCGGTTCAACAGTGGAATCGCGGGCGGTTAAAGAAAAATTAAAAATTATATTACTTTAACCGCACATTTGTGTTAGCGTATAACCGCCCGAACGATGAAAACATATTCAAAACGGATAATTTTCAACGAGTCCCGATCGCATCACATGTGGTCGTCGATTCGATTTTGTTTTCGAATGATATTTTTTATTTAGAAAGAAAAAAAAAAGAAAATAATAATAATGACTGGATTCCGCAGAGCGCAGACTCGTCGCGCGGACGTGAGCGACGGACACCGAAACGCGGTGAACGGACGTCACCAGCAGCAATCGGCGACGGACGGTGGTGACGACGGTGAGTGCGCCAGGGACCACGTGTGCTCGAGGTGCGCGACCTCGTTCCCGACCGAACGGTTCCTGGCGCAGCACTTGGCGCCGGACCGGAAGAGGTGCCGGGTGTGCTGCAAACGGTTCCGGAACACCAGCAACGTGGTCAGCCACGAGCGCGTGCACACCGGCGAGAAACCGTACGCGTGCCCGGTGTGCCGGAAGGCGTTCGCCCAGATGGGCAACCTGCGCACGCACCAGCGGAGCCACGCGAGCGACAGGCCGTACGCGTGCGACGTGTGCCACCGCAGGTTCGTGCAGAAGGGCAACCTGACCAAGCACAGCAGCACGCACAGCCGCGACAAGCCGTACGCGTGCGACGTGTGCCCGAAGTCGTATTGCCAACGGTACCAGCTCGTCAGGCACCAGCTCAAACACTGATCTCTTTTCTCCGCGCACCGGGACAATGTGTGTGTGTGTGTGTGCGTGCGATTATATATTATACGTACTGTACCAGATAATTTGCGTTTTTTTTTTTTTTTTTACGGCCTTTTAGACCACACATCCAAACACAAAAGCTTCAATCCTTCACGATTTTGCAATAACCTATGTCAATCTTCATCCTGGTAGAAATCTGTTACATCTTTTTTGACACAATCCTACCATCGCATTCAGGGTCTTCCTAGGGGTCTTTTCCCTCTTGGATTTTCATGCAAGACCGTCTTTATCATAGCATCAGGTTTTCTTCACACATATCCTTCTTAATATTTTTCTTTCAAAAGTCCTCAGTTTTGACTCATCACTTTTCCTTACAGTCCAACATTGGGTTCCATATAGTACTATAGATCTTATTAGTGTGATGTATAGGTGGACTTTGGGTGTTCTTGACTTAAAGTTATTTGCGTTACGATTATTGTTACCAGGCTTAAGAGTTCTCTCCTTGTCACTACTACGACCAGTAGCGTAAATTGGATCCAATTTCTGGTGGTGCAGAGACATATTCTCAACTTATAATTTCCAACACACCAATTTTCGATTTCCCAAGTAAAATCCTTTCCAATAAATTAAATATTTTCCCATATATTTCTTTAAATAATAAATAAATTTTGAATTATTTTAGCAGTAAAACCTTTATTTATATAATATCAATAAAAAAAAAACAATCACATTTTTTTTTTTAGTATGCTAATTTCCTTGGCTCTAGAAAATAATATTATAGGTATACAAATTTCAATAATTTTCTGGTGGTGCAAAAATATATCTTTGCACCACCACATTTTATATGTGGTGTTGCAAGTGCCACATTTGTACCGCCCAGTTTACACAGTGGCGTGTTTAGGGGTGGGCCCGGTAGGCATGTGCCCACCCACATTTTTATATAAGTACTAGACTAGTTTAATTCTGATGATCAATAAAAAATTAAAATATGATTTATAAATAATTATAAAAAAATGTGTGGCCCATCCACAACAATAGTTCTGGACACACCACTAAGTTTAAGCCACTAACTGCGACGCGATCATCAGCAAGTGTCGATCGATATTGTAGTCGGTGACTTCGGGCTCGTTTTTCATATCTACACCAATAATTGGATGACATATGACAGATGAATTAACCGTTTTTAATTTATTCCTTTCCGAATTCTATAGATAGAGAAATAGTAATCAACCAAAAAAACCTTTTATACATTTAGGTTTTACGTACGTATAATTTTTAATTGTTTCGGTGTCATATTTTTATACAATATAAATGTGATAATATTGTAGAATCGTAATATAATGATATACATTAATACTTGTACAAATAGAATGAATTTAGACATACTTATACATAATCAGTAGCGTCGAATCTATAACCCAAAAGCGACGAACCGCTCCTTTTTCTTCGGTGGGTACCCAAAAAAAACAATTAACTACTATTTATGTTTCTATGGTGTAATAGGTGGTGGGTAGCAAAGAATAATTTTTTCCACCACTCTTCCCATTTAAATTTAAGTTGGGCGCCACTGTACATATAATACAGCCACATATATAGTAATAACACCCATGATTTCAGTAGAAAAATAAAAAAGAGAGATGATTTAAAGACATTTTGATCATTATAGTCTATATAATTTAATATTTACTTAGCAAAAAAATACGAGTATATAATTAAAATTAATAAACACTCAATTACCATTACCTCTACTGTATTACTTAGGTACATATAAACTAAATACTTATTATAATTAAATAATTCATAGGATTTTCTGGTTTTAATATTCTGGCATATTTAAATGTATCCCTTATATTCATAATTCATTTAAATTTATTAAAAAATAAATTTAATTTAACTCATTTTTATCATTTAAATAACCAATATTAAAAGAAAAATATGATTAAATAATTTAAATTAAATACTAATAATTTATTTTAATAATAATAAATTAACTAACCTTGTTGTGAAGAAGCTTCTATTACTTGCCATACAGAATTGTTAACTGAGCCAAAAGATGTTTCCAAAACTGATTTCAGATTTTCACTGAATAATGCATATAAAGCTGGACAGAAAACGTCCAGAACAACAGAGTGTAAATCTTCTGTATAGTCATTATCCAGACAGAAAGCAATTTTTTCAGCACCAAAGCAACAATTTCTTACAAGATCTTAAAAATACAATTTTAATTTTCACATCAAATATTTAAAAAATATTACACAAAAAATTTTAAATTTACCTTTTTTATGTGAAATAGAGTCTGTTAATTTATTTATTTCACATCCTTCAAATCTGTCTATGTTATCAGCTTCTTTTTTAGACTACAATAATGTATTCATGTAAAATATTATAATATACATGTTTAAATTCATTTAAATTTTATACTGATGATTTCTTACTTGTATGGTAGTTTGATTAGGTGAATTTGGTGGAGTATGATGCCCACTAGCACGGTTTAAATATTTATTGACATGTGATTTTAGATTAACACGAGATTGTTTATTTTGTCGTAACAATGAATCTAATCTTTTAGCCTCATCAAGACATGGATTTGGACTATCACAGTTACTTCCAGAACATTCAACTCCTTCATCTTCTGATGTGCCAACATCAGATCCGGCCTTAATAAATATTATATTTGTATCAATAAACAATTATTACAAAATTATTATAGTAATTAATTTACTAAGAAGCTTTCGCATTCATATGAATTGTTTTTTAAAGTTTAAAGTATTCATAAAAAATAAGATAATTATTTAGATTGTTTAATCTTTTAAGTATTTTTGATTAAGTTAAAAATGAAAAATTTGTATATACACTTATTATATAAATATAAAACAAGTTATCTTAAATTTAACAGAAATAGTAATACTAATTTAGTAATTTGCTCATACTTTTTAGGCGCTCAAATATATAGAATGATAATTTCACTTAATGTTTTAACATGCTTGTAATAAAGTTGTAAAATGTGTTTAAATTACTTGGTAATTTTCTATGTTAAGTTTATGAATAGCAATTTAAAAATTACTGCATAGAGTGTACTAATTTAAGTTACAAAGTATTATTTATAGTGTAATGATTAATATAGATACAAACAACAAAAAACACTCCAGCTGTGTATATTATATGTAACTTTGTTTAATAAATTACACTGGTAATTCATACACAACAAATTTCATTTAAATAGATGACCACTTTAATATGCTAAATTAGATATAAGACTATTTAAAAATATTATATCAACCATACAAAAATTGAACATATGGCTTTTGGAGAAATTACCAAATCCCACTTAAAATTTGTGAATGTCTTACAATAGGAGCAATGTTAGGGATGATTGTCAACTGCGATGGAAGAGAACGTCTTTTGTTTTGTAGTTCTTGAAATGATTCTGATTTCATGTCAAACATGCTAAATCTAAATATTAAAAAAACAAATTAAGAATAATTTATTAATAAAATAATGTATTTAAATATAATTTACCTTTTTGGCACTTCATTAATAGGTCTTTTCAGTTCATTTTTGATGGGAATCTTTGAATTCACTCGTCCAACTGGTGGTTTTTGATGTTGACTCAAATCATCATATTGGTAAATGAACATATTATCTTTTTTTTCTGTAGCTTTAGATACAGTATGACAAAATGATGGTTCTTTAATATCAAAATTAATCTGTTTAAAGCGATCTTTCAGCTCAGGAGTCTTGGATAAAGCCACAGAGACATTACGAGGTAATAACAATGCTAATGAATCCCAATCACTAACGTGGTCGAATCCTTTAGCACATATTGATTTTAAATCAAATGAATTTTCTTCTGAAGACGGTTCATGTATAGGTGTAGTATTGAACTTTTTACACTCAACTTCAGGAGATGGCAAAGGGGAAAATTTTTGTGGTACAAGGAACACATTGTTTATATCTAAAGCAGCTTTAGGGTTCTGCAAGAATGAGAGATCTGGTAATGTGTAACTGGGAAACATTACATAAACAGGACTATTCTTGCACTAAAATATACAATATATAAATTTAAAAATAAATATTGATAATAATTTAAATCTTTGTACCTTGGTGTCTGATTTAGTATTACTGATTCCATCCAAAGATGAGGTCTGCATGCTCTTATTTAAGCTCGAACCTTTCCATAAATGCTTACTAGGTATAATTGATGAATTGTTAGATCCATTGTTGTTACTGACCCGTTTGGTGTTTTCAGGTTTTTCATTTTCACACATTAAACTATCTTCCAAATCATTTTTACTAGGTTCAGTGACCTCAATTGCTTCATTATCACTAATAACAAGGCTGCCATCTGATTGACGATTTTTCTTTTGACTAATAAACATTTTGACTAAGCTGAATTTAGCACTATCTGTTTGATTTTTAGTACCAGATACATCATACAGCTTGACTCTACCTTCTGTAAGTTATAATATATTTTCAATATTTTTAGTAGCAATACAATTAAATGAAGGTATATGTACACAATATATATTACCATTCCCTCCTTCAGATTGTGTAGATTTGACTAGATAGTTATAGTGACTTTTTTTTTGCTTTAACCACAACAGCCTCAAAGGCATAAGATCTGGTAAACTTTGGGTTTTTTCATTTACACTTGATGATAAACTTGCATGCTTCAAAATATACAAAAAAAAAAAATTAATACTTAAAATACTGATAATATATGGTAAATGTATGCATTTATGAATATTTCTCTAAAAATATTAATTCTATTTGTGAAAAACAAAATTATTATACGAAATTAAAAAAAACAGGAATTTAATGATTAGCACAACAATAAAAATTACATGAAAGTAGTTTAAATTGTATTTAATAAATAGAACATAGAAAACTGATGGTAATTCTTACAAAATTAATATAAACTAAGTTAATATTGTATACTGAAATTAAAGCTAATACCTCTTTATGTTGTTGGGTACAGTTGGTGGTTGCAGATGTAGTACATTTTTTTAACTTATTCCATGTGGTAAAAGTAGTATCTGATGATATCATTGGAGCACTAACTGCTGGAACACTTCCATTACTTGACCATACTTCACCTGAACCAGTATTTCGACTCTCTCCTGTACTCATAGCTTCACTATTTTGAAATTCTTCCGAAACACCCATAGTTGGTTCTTCAAAAGCAATTGTATAATTATGTTTGTTATTGGCCTTACAGGTGATAAGCATATCATCACTACAATCCAACGAATCCGTGCTAAATGTTATGAATGGATTAGGTGATTGTTCCTTTACAGGAGAAAAGAGCTGTTTGTTTTTACAAAATGATTCAGTTGATACAATCTGAAATATAAACAATTACTTAGTAAAAAAATTTTAAATAAAAAATTGTACTTATTTTAGTTTATAAATACTTGTAAATCTTGACCACACATTGATGGTAATGTACTGAGTATATTGTGTATATCTTCTGTCTTAAGATTTTCCATGTCTACTTGGGCCAAATTAACATCCAAATCTCGAGAAACATCTTCATAGCACGGAATATTATAATTTTCAGATATAGAAGATAGTATACTTGTATGATGGTTAAAGTTATCCGAATCACGGTATCTGTGAAAATAAAACAAAATTATTAAATAATATTAATAATAATAATTGAATATAAGACATTATTACCTGTAGTCGGCAAACCATTGATAATCTGAATAATCTTGGAAGAAATCTGCATTATCTTGTGATGATCCATTGCTCCTGTATGAGCTCAAAGTGGCATCTAACACTTCCAAATTATTAGAATTACAATCACCTTGATTGGCAGCAAACACCTCAACCATGGCAGATTTTTGAAGAACACTGCAATATGTGGTAGAAGATAATCCTAATAAAGAATCTGTAAAAAAAACAACGCCTGTTTAGAAAATATTTTATTTAACAAAGAACCATGAAAAGATTAACATGAACTAATTTTTAATATATTGAATTTGGAACTCTAGGAGTTCAAGACAAATGGTTGGCAAGAGCATATGTTTAAATTTAGTGAACAAAAACAGATGCTTGCCTGTTGCCAGACTTGCAACAACGTAACAGAAATACACACAAAGACCAAACTTTAAAGATAGATTTTATACTCATATTTTAATATATGCTAATGATACAGAATGATAATTTAATATATAAACATTTTAAATATATAATGGTAAAATATTTTATGGTGTAAGTAAGTCCATAATATTTAATGATTCTCAAAAATGATAGTAAAAATAATTGTATTTTTATTTGGATGTCTCAGTTTAAGCATGTTTTTCATTTTAGTTTTAGTAAATTAATAACTATAATACCTTTATAATTGAAGAAACACTTTAAAAAATGAATTAAAATGGATTTATTTTGATAAACTTTAGACCATAAAAATTATTGATGAATGAAAAACATTAAAAACTTAAGTACAAATGTAATGGAATTAAAATATAATTATTTAATTTAAGGTGCATAATGAAAATAATGACATATATGTTTTAAAATATAGTCAAAAATGTAATATAAAATCATAAATATACAAAATCTGTTGCAGTAAATTAATAAATATTATTTTTATTGGATAATTGGACAAATACCAAATAATTTTTGCAATAAAATGAAGCATTATTGTATACATAATTCATATTCAGACATTTTGACATAAAATACATAGTCAGTATTACTTATATAATTTTAAAAGAGATAAATATAAATTACATATTATAAAAAATATAGTTCATAAACTACATACTGAAATAATAAATTATTTTCTTTAAAAATTTTATTTTTTTGAAAGTCAAATAACATCATATTTTATAACTTAATATATAAGTAATTCTTTATAACTAATATTTACAGAAAGAATAACAGTTTAAGTTTTAATTTTCCATATTAGATATTACAGGATAAAGAATGTTATAAAAAAAAAAAAAAAATTTAGTTTATTTGAAACTAAATAGATCATCAATAATTTAGATTAAAAGCTATTTAACCACTCCCAGTTTATGTTAAGACAAATAGTATAGGGTTTGACTGAATTACTAATCAAAAATTTTTTTTAAACAAAAACTATTAAACCTTTATTGACAGAGATTCTTAATATTGTATTAAGCAACCTCCAATAGATAAAAAAATAAGTCTATACATATTTATTATTATGGCACAGTTCAATACTTTTATAATATTTTAAAAAGTCTTTAGATTTGCAAGAATTATACTTATTAAATATATTTTAAGCAATTACTATTTACATGACCTCGGTACTTGTTAATACAGTGTACCAGACTATAATGAAAGAAACATTAGTCACAGGGTCTCATTGTAGGTAATTGTTGAATATCAACCTTGAGCCAAATAAATTGATATTAATATTTGACAGCAGTTTCATTTTAAAAAAAACAGTAGTAACTGATTTTGAAATATAATTGCAGTGGACGTAATGATACAACAAGCCCAGTATCACCAAAAAAGTAGAAACCCAAAATTTAATAAATTTTGAGACAGTAATTTAAGACAAAAAATACCAATAAAACCTACCAAATAGAAGTATATGAAGTAAATTTACAAACCATCAAGATTTTGTGATCCCACAGATATTGGACCAAACGACGAACGCAAAACACAAGCACTGCACACACATAAGCAGAAACACTTATCGCGGTGGGCTGGTCAGAGACGATGTCATTATTATTTTTACTCTCTGAACGAGAGTTTATTGCGTGGCGCAAACGCTTACAACAGATAATCGGTACTCGAAAAAGCACTGCGATTTCGTTGCAAAGTGAAAAAAAAAATAGATACTACCGTTTCAAATAGTTTTTAAACAGTATAATATTATCGGAGAGGAATTTAATAACAAAAAAAAAAAAAGAAAACGTTGCACTTAAATCATTCAATCCATGAAATATTTGTATAATTTTTTATAATGTAAACGGTATCGCGAAAGGAAGCACACAGATAAGAAATGTAATATTGTATTTCATAAAATGGTTGATTTATTTATTTACTTTTTTTTTATCACAGACGTGTTTACGGCCGCACGCGAAAATAGAAACTAATCGCACAGTAACCAGATGTTGGGCGAAAACATTTCCCTCGCCGGCAGAACGCGACACACATCTCTTGAAAACTATTTTTCCCACCGCGGCGCACACAAAGATCGGTGCGCTGACACCCCACGCCTTGCGTATGAATTTTTCTTTTTTTTTTTCCATCGTTTCGTTATTCAATTCTTGTTTATATTAGTACAATTAACCATTGACGCCATTGTTTCGTACACAAGACTAAAGGCAATAATACATTATATTATCACTAATTATCAGCATTCATGAATACGTTGGTCGCAAGTACAATACACACGTTGCACTATATGGTTTATTCAGTCGATCGGAGTACTGTTGCTCTACCAATAACATTAGCTACTATGGCGAGACGAAGAAGAGTTTTGATGGTGGTTGCTTTTTTTTCTTTTACGTAGGTAAAACGTTACCCCACAGATGGTTATTATTCGAAATTTTTAAATCAGTTATTTTCGAATAGTAACGCTTTATTATAATAATAATTTAATTTTTTTTTTTTACATTGTTTGAACAACATTGTAATGGTGTGTTAATAAATTGATTTCTGAACGCGGAGAGTTGTTATGAACAGCATTGGCGATAGGTGGATCGCCCTCCCTTGGGAATTGGTTTTTTTTAAATTTAGTATATCGCTGGCCCAACAACACCTATCTGCAAATTTTCGAACTCATGATTTGATAACAAAATATTTTTTCCATTTTAATCACGGATAATACATTATCATATCTATTGTATACTACCTACAAAAATCCGGGATCCAACTAGTGTAGTACCTAAAATAATTCGAGACCTAACTAGTGAAGTATTTTAAATAATTTGGAACCCAATTAGTGTAGTAATTTTAAATTCGGGACTCAATTCGGATGCAGCCACTAGGATTAATATTTTTTATTTTAATTTTTTGTGATTGCGAATAATTAAATTTTAAATTTCAAGGTCACGTCCATTAAATGTTAGAAACCATTATTATATAGTGTAGTATATAACCTACAAAATATATGTTTGTAATCCTTCTAATCTTCAAAAAATTTGCCCCACTCTCTTTGAATTTATTAAAATTAGCCGTTCTGGACATTACTTCTATCTTAATACGTCACTATGACCTACTACAAAATTTACTCCTAGATGACAAATTAACATTCGTAATACCAATAATTATTTTACTATTTACATATTTTTTGGGGAGAGGAAGGAACTGATTTCTCACTAAAAGATGAAATCTATAAGAGGCGATAAAATTTAACAAATTTAACTTTTTGATTTTGTCTCAAATATATATATTGATTGCTGATTACAAGGTCGTAACTGGGGGGGTCCAGGGGTCCAGACCCCCCCCTGAAATTTTCAAAAGTAGAAACATTTTAGCGGTGAATATACTTTATCAACTATAAATTGTATTAAATAATAATGTTAGACCCCCCAAAATTTTTTTTCCAGTACGGTCTTGGCTGATTGAGTAGTCTATTATAAAAAAAAAAAAAAAAATATAATAATATATAAGATATAACTTAGTAATTCAGATTAAAATGTCCATGTTATTAATTATTATTAATAGCTAAAGATTTTCAAAGGAAATTTAAGTTTCAAAATCTCCTCTGGCGACCTGCTACTGGTAAATTTTATCTAAATTGTAATGTATTTAATTACACCTTTTCATAATACATTGCTGACGAATACTTGACCGTTTTCACACACACAGATGCGCGTACGCTTAGCCGTTTTTAGAATAGTTATTTGAAACTCAAAGGCCTAATATATATTAGGGGCCTTATTATATAAATTATGAAACATACATTTTTTTAACACATAAATTATTATTATTGGTTATTAATAAACTTAGTAACTGTATCAGTAAAAAGTAAATTCTTGTTTGAATCTGTTACTTAAAACTTTATTGTTAATTATAATTTTAAAATGTACTGTCATTATGGATAGTCATTTATTACTTATATAGACATTTATTATTTATCATATGTGGACAAGAACATTTTCTTTCATTGAAAAAGTTGTATTATTTTAATAAAAAGCTAACTTTAATGCCTTGCATTCGACATTTATTTTTAAAAATAAAATAAAACAATGTAAAATGATGATAATTTGTAAATATAATGTAATTTTTATAAAATTGAGGCCCTTTAAATCCCGAGACCCCCTGCCTTAAGATAGCACTACAAATACACACACATATAACCGTTAACACGTTATTTAATGATCTAGACATTTGGCAAATGGCGTAAAATATTATGTACCGTATATTATACCTAAAAGCATGCGTGACGTGCAGGAATCGTGTAAATCTTTCATCGTTGGATTTTGGTTATTGTTTCTATAGAAAGTCGAACACACCACGCTTATGAGTATTTAATTGTGCGTTTAGACAAATTTACAATGCTCTCGCAGTATTGACGCGTTTCTAATAGCACGTTGTACATTTTTATATTATTAATATTACTACTACGTAAACTCCGTATGGTCCGTGTTCTACGTGATTTTTTTTAACCATTTGCTGTTACCCGCATTAAATTGTTTTACCATAAAAAGTGTTATATTTATGGCTACAATATTATTCCTTGATCGTGGGCTTTTATTATGAATTGACTAGTGGTGTTTGGAGGGCTTGATGTCCCTCCCACCCTTGGATCCTAGAAAAAACTTGAAGTAATCACCGACATCAAAATAGTACGTCATAGTGTATAAAACTACTATACACAATTATTTTAATTTGTTGTCAATTCTTTCAAAGTTAGCATTTTTAAACGGACGTTCAAAACACTTTTTTTTCTGTTCAAATAACTGAAATAGTTATACTCTTTACCAAAATGAATACACAAATTTGTTAATTTATATTCTTCTTTGGAAATCACCAGATTATCGTTCTTATGCAATGTAATTTGTAAATTAAATACTCATAAACGTATGAGTAGATCGTTACTGTAATAAAATATATTAAGTCTTTAACATATAGATTATTTATATAGAGACACGTCACAACCGAAATGCACTTGGATTATATTTTTGAAAATTTAAGATGACGAAACACGCTCAGAAATTGTTAATTGTTTTTATAAATTCTAATTCTAATATATAATGATATAATAATTATTAGAATATTTGTCAAAAATGGTTCAAAGGTCACACACTTCATGTATTATGTATTCTTTCTATTATCGTCAACTCAGTAAGTTTTGAAAATAAATATATATTGCATGTTAACATTCTTGATACGTACACAATGCATATTTTACGCATGATTCAAAGAATACAGGAAATTTATTAACGTGTATCTGTAACGTTAGTCTTGCATAAAATTAATGTAGCACGAGCAGCGTACTACCGCAGAATGAATAAAATACTACTTACATAAATAATAGAGAAATATAGTACATCCTATACACCATCAATATCAAACATTTTTTAAAGTTGATTGTATTTCATGGACACCTCCCCCTTAAATAAATTATTCTGGTAAAAATGTTGATTATAACATTTGTAACTTTATACTATCATCTTTTTACACTTAAAATGTAAACTATTACTACATCAAAATATCATTGCAATAGCTTTATAAATAAAAAAACTTATTATAAACTTTAATAAAGGTCATTTCATTTACACCATATAGCCGTATAGGGTTACTTTGTTACTGCATAGTAGGTGTATTCATATACTGTATGGTATTACTGGTATTTGCATATATTATATAATTAATGTATAGTTTTTTTAAGAATATCAAAAATTAATTTATAAATACAAAGTAATATTTTTTAATTAATTTTATTTATTAAATCTTAGATTTTACTTTCTTTCAAAAATTAACATGGTTGTTTTAATATTCATAGTGATATAATTCTTCCATCTATTTACGTTGCTCATAGCAAAGCAAAAATTCCTTAGTTTATCCCTTTAGTAGCAATTTATATTCGAAGTAAACCTTCACGTTATACATATGTGTATCAACTTCAAAGATACTAATAACAATAGGTTATCATAGCTAAAACTTATTTATACGAATTAATAGATAATCTACAATATAATTTTTTCGAAAATAAATTCCTTTTTCTACATAATTTTCTACATTTTATATTTTTAAGAGAATATTAGTACCGAACCCAAAAGTTTTGTATAAAATAAAAATATGGTATCATTAAATTATACTATGCAAATACATATATATATATATATTTCATTCGATATTATAATTTTTAAAGTATGTTAGTAATTTAAAAATTTTTATTTGAAATTAAAGTCGTAAAAGCCAATATGGCCTTTCTTTTGTTCTTTTTATAATATTTTGACTTTTGAGCTACTATTTTTAAATTATAAATAACAGTGTATAACTGTCTGTAATATAGTTTGTAATACTATACTTACAACCAGGGGCGAACCCAGACATTTTTTTTGTATGAGGAGGGTGTTGAATATTTTTACTACCATGTATTCCAAATGTATTTATGTCATAAAACAATAATTTTATTGCAAACAATTACACGTCTGAAGTTCAAGTATTTGTCTAATAATCTAATTATAGTAAGGTATATTTGTATATAAGTTATTTACACTATTTTACCATTAAATATAAGGATATTCAGTATTTTGCGTTGTACACTAATAGTTATACTAGTCCCACATGAGGATTTATTAATTTACTAATTTAGTGATGGGTTCAGTGGCGGCGTGACGGCAGATTTTTGAGTCCCTGGACTCAAGTCAGTGGGTGGGTATTGACCATTGGGTATCAAGTGGGTATGTAGCATGAAGAACGAATAGTGAGGGAGCTCTTTTTACAAGGTACCCTTAAATTTATTTTTAGGTGGGTGGGTGGGTGTTCAAAATCCTAACAGGACTCATGAAGTAAAATATTTCGTGCCGCCACTGGATGGGTTAATTTAAATGCTATTTACTAATCCGCTTATTTGTATTAAAATTAGTGAATCATTGTAATGTGGTGAAATAAAATGTGGTCTTACTAACAACATTTATATATGTTTATAAGTAAATTTGATTTATATTAATGTTATTGCAGTATTAGTGGTAAACAGTGCTGTAACTAAAGGCTGGCAAATTAGGTGGTCGTCTAGGGAGCAGTAAATTAAGGGGCAACATTTGAGTTAAATTAAAATTAGGTTCTTTGTATAAAATAAGTGCAAAAATAAAAATTTCCAAGAGCACCACGGAAGGTAGTTACAGTTAAGTACATGGGAGTATTGTTATAATTGTAATATAGTAAAAATATTCAAGTATGTTGAATTGGTTGATTTTTTTGGCAAAGTATCTTAAACCAATGAGAAAAAAAAAATAGCAGTCGAAAACCAATTCTATATGTGGTTAGAAAAAGCTGGTAAGATTTTATGAAAAACATCTATATTTATTTAAATTACGTTACTATTTTTTATAACTTTATCGTAAACTACTTATTAGTATACTCAAAAATTAGTCATTTTCTATATATTCTACTTCCAATTTGAAAGATCTCTATATGGAATAAACTTTTTATTTCAAAATATTTTACTTTTTAGACGAAAAGCAAGTTAAAAACACATTATTATAATATTAATAACTTCTTAAATCTGAAGCTAACGATACGAGTACAAAATTAAATATTTATTACGTTATTGTTATTAAGGTTTCTACATTTCCAACATAACATATTGTTTGGTTATTATTTTTAACTCCTTACTAACTTGAAAGTTCTTAGTGGAAGAGGTATTAAAATAATTTTTTCTAAAAGAGGGAGTTTTTTGTCAAAAATATTTATCTGTCCGTTTTTTTTTAAAATTTATTTATAAATTAGAATATCATTTTTTAAGAGATATTTATTTTTTATTAGTTTTATAGTAAGGTTTATATTTTGATAGGTACTTTAATTAATTATTTTATTTATCAGTTCTGTGCAAATGCGATTATTTTACATGTACCTAACATGAGTATTATATTATGACGGAAATTCTGATTAAACAGTTAAATAAAAAAAAATTGTAAAGAATCATGCTTACGCTTTTTGAAGTATATTTTAATGTTAATTATTTGTAAAATTATTATCCGTGGATTTTCTGCACTATTACCTATTTTGCGTACTATTATTTTGGAATTATCTAAATTTTAATAAGACTATTTGGGGCAAAAGTAAAATAAAAGTGTTCCGTAAATTTTTAATAACATGGCATTTAACGTCTTATTAAAACTCTATGAATAACGATGAAACGTTATTTAATAAATCTGTGTGATTCAATAAAGATATGTTTACACTACCCTACATTTTATATGTATATTTTGTATATTAAGTTTAAAATAATGGATTTGTAACAACATAATAAAATTTTAAATGTTTGGTAGTTAATACATGTGCATATTATTACACCAATCATTTGATTTCCAGATATTATACTATATTTTACTGACATTATTTAATAGCTAATATGAAGTTACAGTATTGTCTTATGTCTTATGATTTATATATATATATATATATATATATGTATATACACGAGTATTTATAAATTCAAACTTATGTATTCTTAATTCTTAATTACTATAGTAGGTATTCCACTTAAACATATTCATGTAAACATTATATAAAATAAATATTCAAATCAATATCACTTATTATTCGTTTTCTTAATTATAATAGTATAAAATAAGACAAAACCCAACAAGTTTGATTTTTATTGAGGTTTCTTAGTGCGTTTTTATGGAAAAATTATGGAAAATATATAATACTGTTTACATAATTAAATATTAAAAATAATTAAGATTCAAGGTCATATATGGATTTATTTGAAAATCATTTTATCAATTGATGCTCATACATGAAATAAAATGACTACGGTAACTTTCGTAGGTAAAAAATGTGTTGATTTGTACGTACCTTTTTCTACTGTATAGAATTTGTAATAATTGTTTAGTAAAATACAATATAATTTGTATTTTAATACTACGTTGTATCTATATACACATTTCGAGATCCATTTGTGTGATGACATGATTAAAAATTAATACACTTAAGTACTAAATAGAAAATTTAAATAAAGCCAGTGTACAGATATGTATAGTGCATTAGAAAAACTTTTGTACAATATGTATTATTATAGTAACACAAAATTAAGAAGTTCTAAACTGGGCGTTATCGAATAATTTTCTAACAGCTGGGGTTATCTCTTGCATAATATTTTCCACGTCACTCCCAATTATCCAATTATTATCATTATTATTATTTATTTTATATTTTTTAATAACTTTTCGACAAAAATAATTATTGCTAAGAAAATTCCCCTTCCTCGGTAATAAAACAATGAATTATTTACAAGCGTGATAATATAACCTTTCCATTACCAATTTTTCGTCTAAATCATTCTGTCTAGGGTTTAAATTGCATTCCATAATATGAATTCATTATAATCTCACTTTCATTGTGCACGCACATACGGGCGCGTGTACACACAACAAACACACACACACACACACACACACACACACATTATACATATAAATATATATATATTAAATAAGAAATTAATTCTACCTTTCATGGCCCGTTTGCTTTTGCGCTTAGACTTCTTGCGTTTATGATCGCCGCCGTTAAATATTTTCTTCGACGATAAGTGAATCGCTCTTTTTATTAAATAACACAAACCGAAAAATATCATAATCCGAATCGGTGCCCGCCAAAATTCAACCGCACTAACACGAGCCAGTTTTTACTGAATACGATCGCACACTAGTTTTTTTTTATTTTAATGAAGAAGGATTCGTGTTATTCGTCCATAACGCGTAACTCCGTTTTTCCATTTATAACAGTGAATATATAATATATATTAATATATTTTTTCAATCAATTACTCCAAGCCCAGTATGAAATTTTATTATTACAATACAATTATTATCGACGACGGCCGGATGTTCAAGTGGTGGGGCGTGTAAAATATAAATGCGCACTTTTGATAACGACGAAATGTTACTAACAAACGCGACTGCTATTACACACTATAGCAATTATAATCCACGACACGGCTCATAAACTATCGTTCTCAAAGTTAATACACGATAAACAATAGTCGGTAACAATAATAATAATAATATAAGACAAATCAAAACAAACGACTACGCGATTTTTCGTCAAGATATACGCGTTGAACGGAAAAGTATACGACCGTGGCGAACAAAATCAAAGAGGAAAAACAAAATAATTCAATTCAAAATGTCACTGGAGAACGCGGCAAAACGTAGTAGGTACGTCAGGACGCGCGACAACGTATTATTATTATGAGATGGTTGGATGCCAAAACAGATGTCGGCAGGACCACGAATAGGCAACAGCTCATTGGTCGTCGTATTAATAGACGTGCGAGTGTGGTGTGCATAGGGCACGTTGTAGGGGACCGTTGTCGTTGTCATTGTAGCCCATCACGTAATAATATTATTCACATTTACACGCTCAGAACAGATTTCGATTATATTTTACTGGTGTACATGTATACGTCTTTTGTTTGTTGCATTATATTTGATTTATACTTGGTACACGGTAAAACAGCTATGATAGAAAAAAAAATTTCTTAAGAAGCAGCTAGCGGCTAGTGTTAAGAGTCTATGCGTTATACTATTGATAGGTGAAAATATATGTTCCAAAATACCATAAATCTGTAGATTCTTCATTTTATATACGTCACAATTTTAAAAAGCAACTTTAGTTATTTAAAAAAAATGTGTAACTCATAAAACTCGATAATTTGGAAATGTTAATTTTTTAGTGATATCATATATTTCCTATAATAGTAACTTTTGATACATACAACAATTAAATACTTATTAACTAGACATTGTCACCAAGAACATTTATTTTGATCAGTAAACTTGATACCCGATTGAACGCTGCCTATTCTACTCACTGCTATACTTTTTAAATATTGCATTCATTGGCATTTGTGTGTAGTGTGCCTTATTTTAAAACTTATAGCAAAAATGTTGGAAGAGTATCTGTGACTTCACTGTTTATTGTTCGATGATCCGTAGAAAGTGTGAATTTAAATAATAAATGTTACATACAATACTCTATATCAGATTCTCCCGAATATACCACTGTAATAAATATAACTTGCAGTAAAAAAAATTACATTCATGATAAATGTGAAATATTAATAATAAAATAAAAAAATTAATGTGCGTAAGTTTTCATAATAATTAAACGTGGAGACTTTTTTTTATATCAAAATGTCAAATGTCCAAAATTTAATACATGAGTGCAACGAAAATTATTAAAAATATTAAATCGATCTGTTTGATATTATATCTATTAAGATAAAGAAACCAATATTGTTGGATATGATTATTTTTTTTTTCGAACATATTTTTGTGTGTATCATAGGTTAGTTCCTAACTAATTATTATTAGTTTCTCAGTCATTGAAGTAAAAAAACATATATAGATATTATACATATCGTTTATTTTAATGAAAGGAATAGGAAATACAAGAAATAACAATTGACATTGATTTACTCATATTATATTGAAATAAACTAATGATTTAAAAAATATATTTATATACATTTCTAAATATCAGCGGTTTCCAACCTTTTCAAGACTATTACCCGCAAACGGTGTTCATCAATTACGCCAATTTTGGGACACTACCTGTATAATTTACATCTATAGCGCCGATACAAAAAAAGATATACATCAATGGAGAATTGTTAACCACCTTACTGAAAAGACATATAGGTAAATTCTTTACAAGAAAATAAATTATTTTAGTAAATAATAATTTCTTTACCACGTTCATTTCAACTATTTCCATCATAAATTTAAGCACGAGCCACGACGATTGGACGTAAAATGCATAGAATTATACTAAACAATACTACAAATTTATTTCACAAAATTAATATTTGTCCACATTTTTTTCTATATTCAAACAACAAAATAATAATATGATAAAAAATAATGGCTTTCAAACGTACCTACGGGCACAACAAAGTAAACCCATTTATTACCAAATGTAAAATACTGCTAATCTGTAAGTTCTAAAAATAATAGTAATGGTATTATGCACGTTTATAATTATGTAGGAATCAATTGGCGCAACTAACCTAGAACATTATATTATATTCGAATATCGATCGGCGCAGCTGATCTATTGTATACCTTTTTTATACCCCATAATTTTTCTTTCTTTATCTTCGATTTTCAGCGCGATTGATACTCTGCAAACCGGGTAATATATTAATAAATACCTCTACCACTAAAAAAGGCTGCATTATCGGGTTATCAATTATTGCAACCCAATTAAACCGATTTATAGAATAGCAATGATGGATGTATTATGTAAAGAAAAATTTTATTTTTTATTTGTATTTATGTAAAAATGTATGTTAAATTATTTTATAAAATGCTCTATATGATATTTTTATTTGATATAAAGCAAATAATTTTAAATTTATATTTATATTTGTTGAATATTTTTATTATATTTTATTATTTGAGAAATTATATTATAAACTTCTCTATATGAAAATTGCAAAACCTAACGAATGGTGTAATAAATAGATAAAAAAGATAAAACCCTTTGATATATTGATATATTTAGTTATTTATATTAATTTTCTCAATAAATTAACAATGGATTAAAATATATATAGATATAATAACATTTAATATTTACTTAATAATTTTTAAAATGATAATATTTTGACCGTAGTGAAGCAATAAAAATGTTTGTTTTTTTATACTTTATACTAATATGATTATATAATACTAATAACAAATAACTAATAATATTTGCTATGTCAACAAATAATCTTCAAAATCACATTTTGTAATAGACATATTTTTTCATAATACATTATTTTAAAGTAGTTTAAATGCTCCAAAATGTAGAATATTATTTAATTAGAAGTTTAGTCATTAATAGCATTTCGTATATTTTATATTACACAACTTTCAAAATTTAATTTTATAACATAACAACCAAGGTAGTCCATATTAAACGTGAACAAATCCTAAAATCAAAAAAATATTATCTTCTTCTTATATTCTGCATATATTATAAAAATTGTAAATTAAAACTACATTATTATAAAAATATCCATTTATTATTATTTACCTTATCTATATGATGCATAATATCTTATTTTATATTTGTGCTTATTGTAATTAATAGGAAATAAGCACCTATTTTGACTTTGACTAATTTTTGGTGCGATAATTGTTAATATTTTGTCCATAATTTATTTATTCTTACTATAAATAATAATACAATTATATATTATAAACACGTTTATTAAACCTTTCATATATTAAAAATGTATAGTTGATTTAATTTTTTATTATCATTATTAATATAAATTAAATTAATTGTATCATACAATTTGTATAAAGTCAAGGTTAAGAAAACATAAAATTATACCAATACTCATAGGAATAAACTTGATAATTATTAATTTTTCTGTTATGATAAATAATATTCTGATCGATTATTGATAATCTATTATTTATTTTACTATTGGTAGTATACACAAAACAAAAGTAGATTTAATTAAAAATAGTATATATTTCAAATAATTAAAGTATTATTATTTTATTCTTAGAAAATAATTAGTTGCAAAATAAAAATAATAATAGTAATAATAAGAGAAATAATAATAAAACAATAATAGTTACTATAAACTTTGAATTAAGTGTGAACCATATGTTAACATAATACAAAATATAAAAATAATTCATTGGTATGGTGCCAAATGTTATATTATTTTTATCCGTATTATTTTTCATTTGGCGCGAAATAAGAATAAAAGCGGGAAAATATGGAAATACTACTTATTAACATCTCCCACAAAAGAATAATACATAATATACTGTGTACTCTTTATAACGTCTTATTATATTATTCTATAGAGATAATATAAATATATATATATATATTAAATACTACTGATTCACAATTTCACGTTATCGATTTATCTTTTTACTACTTTTAAAAATATATATTGAATTTTAAAAATAATATAATAGTGTAAAGTGTGTAGATAATTGTAGATTTATATTATTGTATAATGTATTAGATTTACGTATACATAATATTATATATATGTATATTTTTTTTTAATTGAAATTAAATATTTATTAATTATAATTTATATTAATTTTAAGTTCATTGAGATAGTTTTTAATCGTAGAAATACCTGAGAGAGTAATCTGAGTGAATTTAAAAACACATGCATTTTTTTTTTAAATTTGTCATCAATATTTAATTTGTAGTTTCTACTGTTAAAAATTTTAATTTTACTTGTTACGATAGTAACAAGTTAATATAACTATACTCTATTACTTAATCATATATATTTTCCAAAATATTTCAAATATTTTTAATGAAAATATTTTAATGTAATTACCTTACAAAACTAATTATAAATTTAAATACAAATCGCATCAACCTTTGCTTTTAAATTTATAATTTGCTTTAACATTTAAAAAAATATTCTTCAAAGACCCACCTAAATTTATATCGGGGTGACTTTTTAAATCAATAACTATACATTTTTTTATTAAATTTAAAAGTATTAGCGTTTTAATTTGAAATAAAAATTACTTTAATTGGCTTTTAAGCTAAAAATATTTATGAGTATTTAAAGTGTATAAAAATGATTTTCTCTTTACATCGCACGCATATACTTTTTGTGCCTAATAAATTGTATAGATTGCATATTATCTTAATAAAATTAAAAAAAATATATATATATCGTTTCAGTATAATGTGTAATTCTTCTATGGTTATATTATAGTCTATTATCAATATTATTCTACTCTGTATCAAGAGTTTAGGCTATTATATAAATATGAATACTTAGTTAACCCTTGGTATTCCATATTCGTTATGGTAACAAAATTGTTGGCACTGTTCTAAATTCAGCGTTTCTAGCTAATTAAAAAAATCGAATCTTGGCAAATTACCATAAAAAACTTTAGCCGACTCGAAATTATTTCTTCGTTACGAATTCGAAGAGGTTCGTCGAATTAAAATTAATCAACTAAAAATTATAAGTGAATAATAGGTTTACTTTCAAATATTTAAAATTTACGCAATTTAACAATCTAGTTTTAGTAACAAAGATCTACTACTACAATATAATAATTTCATGCTTCGAGAAAGTTGTTTAAGACATTAATACCTCCATATCAGTATTTTTTTTATTATATTACATTAGTATCAACTATCTTCAGGAAGTACTAATACTTAGCTTATATTTAAGTGAAATATTTTA